CGCGTTTATATCGTCGTCGAATTTTCAAAAGATCCAAAAATTATTCCACCAATTGTGTGCGTTGGTCGAGGTGGATCCGTACGACCAGAAGAATGTTTATAACGGGTTAGTTTTTATTATTTTTTATTATTATTTATTATTATTTATTATTATATTTATTATTATATATTATTTATTACTATATTTATTATTGTACATTTATAATTCCCCAACCAAAGAAATTCATCTCGCTGAGGGATTTTGACAGATGTATAATTGTATTCATCATTATTAATGTTGTTTCTTGTTATTATATAATTATTTATTATTGTTATTTATTATTATTTATTATTATATATAATAATAATAATATAAATTGCAGTCTCCGCGAGAGGGTAACGGACTGGAAAGCCAAAAAGTTGTGGTCTCTATTGGACAAAAGGGCGGAGCAAAAGGAGTACTGCCATCAGAAGGCGTGCGAGAAGTTGAGTGTGCTCGTCATTGGCGCGGGTATCTATTATTTATTATTATTATTATTTATTGTTATTCATTATTAATATATAGCTGTAATATATTACGATTAAAGTAATAATAATAATAGTAAGACAGTGGTATGATAAATTATGTCATAAAATTATTTCGGTAGCGTTTTGCCAAAAACATTGTAGTAACTAATAATAATAATAAATCATGTAGTATCGATTATAATAATATTAAATATAATAAATAATAATAAATAATAATAATAAATAATAAAAGGGCCATGCGGACTTCGATCAGCCATCGAGTGTGCGTTATTGGGCGCGAGGGTGATGTTGTGTGAGCAGAGGAATACATTCTCGAGGAATAATGTATTACACCTGTGGCCATTCGTCATTCAGGATCTGAAGATGCTCGGTATTAAGCTGCTATATCCGACTTTCTGCAGGGGAGCGATAGATCATATTAGTGAGTTATTTTGTTATTATTTTTTATTATTATTGTTATTTATTATTATTATATATATTATTTATTATTATTATTATATATTATTTATTATTATATATATTATTATTTATTATTATTGTGTTTATATTGTATTTATATGTGGCAGTGGCTGGCTAGCT